CGTTTTTCGTAAACATGTCCGCGCCACGAAAGATACGGTCGTTTTATATAAAAAACGGTGGCGACGTACCCGTCCTCCGTTTCCTCTCCCCCCTTTCGAGATTTCTTCTTCTTCTTCTTCTTCTTCTTTTTCTTCTTCTTCACCGTAGCGAAAACAAAAGGGAGGGAAGAAAATCGTGCGTGTGAAAATAATGTTTTCGTTGATCCTCGTTTATCACGTGGGCGACACGCACCGTCCGATTTCGACACACGAATTCTACGAATAGAAAGATTCTACGTGAGCGAACCTCTTTTCCTTCGTTTTTCCTTCTCCCCCTTCCTTCCTTTTCACACGAAGGAGAACGATATTTATTTTCTCGATCGTTTCGTCCAAAAAGTCTAAAATATATTTTTATAGTTTTTTTTTCTTTTTTTTTAATTCGTGTGGGTAGTTTTTCTTGTCGTGAAAAATTTTATTAGCGCTTAACTTAAGTTTTTTTTTCGATCACAATCTTAGTGGATTTGATACGAAAATTTGTATCTATCAGGAAATATATCGAATATAGATAGTTTGAATATATTTGAAAGGAAAAGTAGATGAAAATGGTTGTTTTAAATAAAAAAAAAATTGCGAAAGTAAGGGAATAAATTAAAAGGGCGAAGATTTTATTTATCAAACTGCTACGATAGACCTCTGCCTTCTTTCTCTCCATTCTCCTGAGCCTCGTTCTCTCGAAATAACTGCACGCCCTTGCCGTATTAATTACCAGGATTCATTTCATCCTCATTTACCGCGAGCTAATTTACCGCGGAGAAGCACGCCGCGATATATGTACGCGATCCTTCCCTCGTGAGCACTCCACGAGAGAGATCGACGACGTACGCTGCCTTTGGGAAGCGATTAATCGCGGGATCGCGCCACCGTTGCCTCCCCTCCTTACGACAGAATTTCGTTTACAGAGTTGGAATAAACGGAGAGGAAGTGGTAGTACACGTGAGACTTTCGGGTATTTTGGAATTTGGAACGATTAAATTTATTGAATCTGAAAGATTTAGAAAGAGAAAATTATTAAGTTTAAGTTGCGAATATATTGTGCATATATATATATATATATATATATATATATATATATATATATATAT